CACCAAAACTTGTCAGATGGTAACTTCTTAAAGTTTAGTTGTAATGTGAAATTTGAAACCATTTCAGTGTACTTTTTTATAATGTTACATTTTAGTCTATCTTATACTTGAATGAGTCTTTTACACATGCATGTAGCATCATGCATTAGTTATTCAGAAAACATTAGTTCACAGACTTTTATCCAGGTCTTTTATATACTTCATCGTACAATATTTTTAAAATCACATTCATTAACGTTACCACCAGCCTCCTCTGAAAACTCATGAAGTACTGAGAAGGTTCAAGCTCTTCATAGTAAATTCAAATTATCCAAAATTCCATTTTCTACCAGAAAGAATGATTTTTATCATTGACAGCAAATACTTGTAGAAGTTTTTCTTATTATGGCAAGCTTCATTCTTTTGCTTTTGAAAAAAATGTCTGCCAGGTACCCAAATCTAAATATGTTTTCAACATATATCTGTCAGATGTTCTTTCAAGTAAAAATGGTATTCCATGAAAAAAGCAAGCAGTTCTGCTTCACAACTGAACCAAATGCTTCTCCTCAAGGCAACACTCATACTTCCATCCGCAGCAGGCCTGCACTAGGAGCATGAGCCATTTCATCACACAGAATATTAAAAAGGCATGTCCTCAAGGATCAACATTTCATAGAACTAAAAATTTGCACTGCTTTTTGTTCTACTGTGAGAGTGTAGTGGTGAAGAATACGACTGCTTGGACAGTTTGCTGTCACTGCCTTCGTTCAGGTTCTGTTCTAGAATTTTACCCATCATCTCCTTTACTCTGCAAATGTCAACACAAAGGAAAAGAGGAATGAAAGCTTGATTAACAGCATGAAAAGAGAATGATGGGACCCTCCCCACATTTCCACAGACCCTACTTGGAGGAACTCTGATCTAGTCTAATCCTCTCTTGCTAAAGGAAAGGAACTAAGGCCAGTGAGGATCAAGGCTTTACTATTTTGCTCAAATTCGTTTCAGCAGTCAGTAGAAGACCCAAAGCCAAACCCCTGCTCTCTGTCTTACAAGTGATGCAGTTTGTCTTGTTTTCTCTGAGAAACTCCTCTCTCACCTTCCTCCAAAAAAGAAAATTTCTCAAACCATAACCCTGATTTTTTTTTTTAATCAAGTTTACTAAAGGAGCAGGACTTGCCACATGAGGAATACAGAAGTTCTTTTAGTGTTTTTAGACTTTTCTTTCAGGCCCAGTGTTCTTCAGTGACTTTAGTTTTAGAAGTAGGTAGTATGGCATTGAAAAGTATTTAAGAAATTTATATTTTTTTAATTATAAAAGACCTTAGTAATTATTTTTTTCTTCACTCTCGCTCACTAAACTACTTTGTCAGTACTTTTAAAATTGTCATTTAATTTATTCTCTAATTGTCACTTTAAAAAAGTTACATTGTGGGTTAAGCAGAGTCTGGTCACCAGAAGCTATATAAAAGAAGGCTACTGGCTTGTAAGTACTAGGTAGGGCTTTGCTAATTGTTGTGTACATTCCATTAACTACCTCTCCAGCAGCCACACTATAGATTTCTGTTAGAAGAAGGAAGATTGGCTCGGCGCCTGTGGCTCAAGCAGCTAAGGCGCCAGCCACATACACCTGAGGTAGTGGGTTCGAATCCAGCCCAGGCCCTCCAAACAACAATGACGGCTGCAACCAAAAAATAGCCGGGCATTGTGGCAGGCGCCTGTGGTCCCAGCTACTTGGGAGGCTGAGGCAGGAGACTTGTTTGAGCCCAGGAGTTAGAGGTTACTGTGAGCTGTGATGCCACAGCACTCTACCCAGGGGACAGCTTGAGGCTCTGTCTCAAAAAAAAAAAAAAAAGAAGAAGAAGAAGAAGGAAGATTTCTCTCTCCTAACAGTTACATTTCCTGATTATCAGGAAAAGGTTATTCAAAAAGACCTTTATTTTCTCAGCATTGAGATAGATTATGTGACACTCGCCAGCCATTGTAAGAGACCCACATGTAAACAGATAAATTACTAAACACCTCAGTAAGTTTAGTGTGTTGGAATGGAGGGAGAATAGCTTTGGTGCCAGACAGACCTGGGTCACATCTACCTCTCACCAGTTTTGTCACTTTGCAAGATATATTCAGTTTCCAGATCTATAAACTGGAGATGTTAATGTCAAACATTGGTGGAGGATTAAGTGAGATAATTAAGCATTCAGTCTGTCTCCTGAATCGGAGACATTTTAGTACCTCAGAAAGGAATTTGAGGACCCTAAGCGTTCGGGGAAGGATAGAAACTAACTGAGTAGAGACATGTGTTAGACCACCTGTCACTCTCAGCCAGTATGCAGAAAGGAGGGTGGTTCCACCAAAAGTGATTTCTCAGAAGGCCGGCAGTTCTGGAGAACAGTAAGAGTAGCCTCTCCAAGACGGTTCTGCTTTTCCATTTCCAAAATCACAGTTTCATATGTGAAAGTTCAAAGTAAAAAGCATGTTAACCCTTATCCTCAAAAACACTAATCAGAGAACCCATCATTCCAATTCAGAAGTTAATCTGCTAAATCAATTACCCGAAAGTACTCAAGATATAACGTTTAGGTTAAACCTGAATTTACATAACTGCAAGCATGGGAGACCTGAGGTGAAGATCCCATAAACTGACCAGACCAGCTGGGTCACACCCTAGCCTGAATGACTGCATCTTACTCTCCCTATATGTGCTTTCACAAGGAACATATACACATGTATAGTAAGTTTTCTCATGCAGAAAAGAAAGGAGATAAGGCTCAAAAACTTCTATTGCTGCTGTTACTGTTTTTTTTTTTTTTTATTTTTGTGTTTAACAAAAGCCTAGGAGAGAGCACGTCAGTATGGTTGGACAATAAGCAGTTTGCTCATTTAGTTTAAAAAAAAAATGCTGTATGACTGTCAGATGCTGATCTAGAGCCTCAGGTCCTGGCAGTGAACAAAAAAACAAACCCCTGCTTTCTTGGAGCTTACATTCTAGTGGGAGGAGACAGTATTGTCGTACCACAAAAGACAAAGCAGAAAAAGAAAACAGCAAGCAATTGCCTGAGGCTGAACAGCTCCTGTTTTATCACACTTAGAAAGGATGGTCAGGAAAGGCTTCCTGGGAGTAGGGGAGCCACTGAGATGCAGGATCCCTGAAGCAGATGGAGGGTCCTGGAGATAAGTGTGGTGCAGAACAGATGGGGAATACTCCACTTCCTTATTCCATGATGCATGATTTGTTTGGGGGTTGTTTATTTTTTTTTTGCATTTTAATTTTTCAGGACTTGGGTAGATGAGTCATATATTGACAGTGATAGTACTTCTCCCTCCTTTCTCCTTATGCCAGAAAAGGTTTTAATAAGTTCATTTGTGTGCTATAATCATAGACAAAAGGAGAGATAGCGCATGGATACAGAGAGCTGACTGTATATTATGAAGCATGAGGAAACCAATTACCTAAAATATTAATGCAATAAAAGAAAAAAATATCACACAATGTGGTTTGTTAAATTCAAGTAACTAAGTATTCCTTTGGAGCCACATAATTAATGTCCCAGAGGGACAGGCAATGAGTTCCCATATAATGAATGGCCTCTCTTTTCCGGGTAGTCAGTGTCAAAAATCATTGGCAGGAGAGATGGTCTCCAGGGTTAGGTGGGGTGGGATTAAGGGGGAAGGGTGGCTTCAAGAACAGGGAGAAACCTAGGCTACCGCCATGAGGATCTGAAGGGAGTCTGTTAAGGATAAGTAAGTGGATTGTGGAAGAGATTATGAGTCTGGAAACCTTAAACTTACAATGTCATCCTTTGTTCATAGTGAGTGGCTGGATTTCTCCAGCACTAGGCAGCAGGCACTGGGGGGTGGAGAGCACCAGGTAGGGGCCAGTTGGGGGAAGGCTCTTAGGAAAACAGCCCTAGGTGACTATCCGACAGCCTTGAGACCAGTTCTGGCACCCAGAGTGTTTGCCTAAGAACTCGTAAGCACGACTTTAGGAAAAATGGAGCCTTAACTCTTACAGATTCTTAACCTGTAGATGAGAGTAGAAGTTGCTTTCAACCAGGTTTTGTAGTTATCATCAAAGGACAATAAAGACACCGATGGAGAAGCCCAGCCAAATTCAAAGGAAAAGGAACTCACCGTGGTCACCACAGCTTTCGAGTTCTAATGGCTTATCTCTGTGTGCTCGCTCAGGTCAGAATCTGATGACTTTAGTGCCTCAGAATCTGGGTGCTGGTTAACTCATACCCAGCCAATTCCAGTCAGTGCCTGAGACTTCATGTTCTTTTTCTTTACTACTTCATGGCATCAGTATTGTAGTGGGTCTCTCTATGTTAAGGAAAGATGTGCCTTGATTAAGGAAATAAGTACTGGCAGTAGTATTAGGGAGGGATTAGCCACATAACACGTGAGTATTCTACCTCCTAAAGACCCGTGGCTGCCCAGCCTTTGCATTTGTACTTACAAATCATGTACTGTCTGACATACAAGCTGAGATACAGAAAACCTTACACCAAAAAATATTCCACATCACTGTGAGTTGAAGATAAGTCTTATAGCAAAGTATGTGTAAAACTATACTGTAAAGCAGTGGAACAATTAATTTTTTAAAATGCAGTTTGCATACTCTTTAAAAATGCCTGTTCTATATAAAGTAAACCTGCTTTTGGAATTATCTTTGTGATTCCAGCCCCTTGTTTTTAACTGTACTGTTGTTGAAACGTTGTGATCTTTACCACATTAGTTTCATAATCGTGGTATCTTGACCAAAGGCAAGAAATCTGCATGTGTCCTAGTTTAATTGTCCCAACAGACTGCGCATTCTGATGTCGAAACCTTATCTTTCTGTTTATCCCACTAAGGAAAAGGTTTTCTTCACCAACTGTCATCTTGTTAGTCTTCCTAGATACTTAACTGTTCTAACTGCTTATTGAAAAATGAAATTGAGAAAGAAAGGGGCCCATGTTTAATTTCTTAGGGGAAGATTTTGTGCCATGAGACATTGTGCAGCTCACTAAACTCTTTTGCAGGAGAGATTTCCATGTTGACCCATCCTGTTGAGAAACAGCTAACTCGGGAGATGTCGGAGTCTACCAGAAAGACAAAGTGCACAGGTATTTGCTATAGGGGAAAAGATATCAAATAAAAGGATCTGCTGCTTTTCCCATGTTGAAGTTAGTGATCAAGCTCTAAATTTCAACCATGTGTCTCATCTGAATGTTAATAATTCTAGTAATATGAACAACAAAAAGAAAAATGAAAGAATGAGGTTAATAAAGCTTTCAGAAGTTCCTATTGCTCTTGATTTGCATCTTTGGAAAGTTATTAAGTCATAGTTAACTTTTTATGCTACTTAGTCACTCTTAGATTTGGGTACAGATACTGACTTGAATGTTTTATAATCACGAATCAAATTTTATGGCTACTACGGATCGTTTTTTGCCAAAAAGATAAACAACTTAACATTACTTTCCTAAATGTATTAAAAACACAAAGTGTTTCTTACTGTTTTCAACTGTTTTTCATCAGAAGCACTTCAAATCAAAACAGTTTCTCCTAGTATAGAACTAATAAAAGGGGCATAATTAAAATGAAGAAGAAATCCATTGAAATTGGGAGTTGTGAAAATGTACTTTAAACAGTAAAGCTTTTTAGAACTACTTTTCATTTGGGACATTAATTATATGGCTCCGAAAGAATAGTTACTTGAATTTAATAAACCACGTTGTATTATTTTTTCTTTTATTGCATTAATAGCTTAGGTAATCAGCTTTTAAATTCTTTTATTAAAAAAATGAATGTTTCTTCTTTCTTCATGATACATGGTCAGCCCTCCATGTATCTGTACGTTCCACCATCATGGATTAAAAATATTTTTTAAAAATTGCATCTGTACTGAACATGTGCAGACGTTTTTCTTGCCATTATTCCCTGCATGATAGTATAACAACCATTTACATAACATTTACATTGTATTCGATATTATAAGTAATCTAGAGATGATTTAAAATATAAGGGAGTGTGTGCATAGGTTATATGCAGATACTAGGTCATTTTATATCAGAGATTTGAACATCTGTGGATTTTGATATCTGCAGAAGGTCCAGGAACCAATCCCCCATGGATACTGAGAGATTACTGTACTTACGTGTCTAATTTATTCAATTTTGTGGGCTATAGTTTCCTTTTGGTGCCCAGTTTTTCTTTGTATAAGTAAGCTATCTTAAACTGCTTAATGATGTACTCAGCGAAATACTGAAATCTGCAAATAAATGCCTTCAAAATTCTGGATGCCCAGCCCCTACCCACAATGAAAGCCCATGTATTTTCCCTTGAATTGCGAATTCATATATTCATTGCTCTGACTGACCTCCAGCGATGTGGCAAGTTTCCCTAGCCCCAGCCTAGGCCCCATCCCTCATCCCAGGGCCACTGGGATCTGTGCTCACCACTTCCTGAACGTCTCCTAGGGTAGTTGCCTTCTTCCCTGCTAGGTTTAGGAGCAAAATTGACCTCAATACTCAACATAAAATGAAGTGAGGCGTGTCCCCCTAAAACTGCTCTGTAGAATGTGTATCTGTTAACCCCTATTCACACTGAATTATTAATCCAGTTAGCACTCTGTTAACCTGGATGCAGTTTGCAAAAGAGAAGGAAGGATGTGGACAAAGGAGTAAGAGAGCCTGAGAAGATAGATCAGATGTTAGGAAAGGTGGAGCTAGCAAAGTGGGTGGTAGGAGAGGGGCCCTTCAGTCTCTGAAGGTTCCCCTGACAAAAGACAGATTAATGGGAAAAAAGGCATACAACTTCATCTAATTGTATTCATCTAGTTGTTTTACATGGCATGGACCCTTCAGAATAGAGACCCAGAGGTACAGAGAAAACTGTCCATTTTTATGCTTAGGTTCAACAAAGTTATCAACAGCTATGTAGAAATACAATTAAACAAAAGGGGTATGATCTAATGCTAATAGACTGAGTAGGGAACCCCAGCAAGGCCTGTTTGGATTCTTCTTGGCCTCTGAGCAGCATGCCTTCCTTCTGGATGTGGGGCAGGGCCCTCTCTGGATTGGGGGTCTTATGACCTACACTCAAACAAGGCAGGTCAGATAATTTCTTTATGGCCAGTTTTTACACAGAAAGGTAGGGAGAAAGTTAAGAATATGTTGTTTAGGTTTTAGGTTTGCTTTAAGGAAAATGGGTTGTAGTTTCTGTGACTCATGTTGGCAAAGAGGGAGCCTGGTTTCTATGGCTGGCCTCTGGAGAGACTGAGGAGCCAGGAGGGCAGGAGAAGGTCAGGGAGAAACTTTTGTTTCAGAGGCCTTCCTTTTGAAGTAGTGTTTTCCAAGCCTCAATATAAGTAATAGCTGTTCTTTCTCCTTTTCCTTTGCTTACTTCTAGAGTAGAAACACCAGTTTAAGGATCCAGAACTTTTTCCATATGATGAACATTCAACATCTGGGCCTTTTTTCCCTCACCAAAAATCAGTGTCAGGAACTTCATACTTCATGGCAAGGAGAAAGTGAAAACTAATGTCTGCTCAGCATCTAACATGTGGCAGAAACTGCCCTGGCCTCCTCATACTTATTTTTCTCATTTAGTCTTGCCAGTGACCTTTATAGCCAGACACTGTTATTCCTGTTTCATGGATGATAACATTTGGGCACAGAGAGGGATTTGCCAAAGCCATGGTCTTTCCGCTGGAGACTCTGGTGATGACCATAAACAGGCATGATGGCTCACAGTGGGCAGCAGGGGCAGGGAGAGCCCCTGGAGTGAAATGGGCCAAGGTTTGAGTTTCAACGCTGTTAGGTACCAGCTTTAGCAATCTTTGTCTATAAAATGGATGTAATAGTAATTCCTAACTCAGGTTATTATGGGGATTAAATGAGGTGATGCATATCTGACACAAAATACTACCTATCATTGAGATAATGATAAAGAAACAATATTGATTAAAGAAGTTCAGCTCCTCAGAAAATGAGAATTTTCTTCTCTGCTAACCAGGGAATGAAAAAACTGTTTGTCAGGACAGCTTTCAAAGGCCTATACTGAGTAGAAGGTACCTGCATGTCACTAGTGGTGGTAAAGAAGGGAGGAGGAGCTAGCCAAGAGCACAGCTGAGCAGAATGGGACAGGAGCGCCAAGGAGATTGGACAAACTAGACTCCAGGTAGAAGATACCCAATGGAGGATGTGCTTGTTTCCATTGGACCATCTCAAATTTCCTGAAATTTGGGTCAGAGATAACGATGAATCTGGGAGGTCTTCCTGCTACTGATATGTGGATTAGAAACAAAAGAACACTTGTGTCTCTTGCCAGCACATTTTCAGTGCACGCTCTGCAGTCAACGCTCAATAAATTCCTGTTGACTCTGCTGCTGCAGACCTTGGACAGTGGCTTGGGGAAAGAGTAGGCAATGGCTAAATGTGTTTATAGGTTTTTCAACAAAATTAAGTTGAGCTCCCTTGTGTTATGAGACATTTCTTTTATCCTAGACTTCCCCAGGGTTTTACCATATTTATTTTAACAAGAGGCCATCTTGGGAAACAGTTTGAACCCCAACTGGAATTTATTATTTGAAAGCCAAGTGGGAGAGAGAACAAGGATGCCAACAAATAAAATTGAAAATAGGGTTTTTCAGTTTAATAAAATTAAAACCTAAACAACACCTAAAAGTTTTGCTCTTTAGTGGCTAAGACTTGGCAGCTATCCTGAGCCTGGGTCCAGGGGGCCTATTTTAAGAACAGGGACACTCCTTCCTTTCTCTCCCTGTTCCCTCCTACATGCTTAGCAGTAGGCCTCTGAGCCCCAACAGACAGAATAATGGAACTTTGCCCAAACCAATGACCAGACGCACGGGAACAACTCTGTTCTGCTTGCAACAAAGCAGGCCTTGGTTCTGCCAGTGGAAATCAGGAAGTGAGTTGTTTGTAGCTATCTAGAGAATTGCCTCATGTTCTTTTCATCTCTTAATGCTGTTTATGCTAGCTACCCTGTGGAACAGTTGGATAACTCTGGGTTGGACAGTGACACCTCGTGCCATTGAGCCCCCGCTCTCCCCTCTGCTGCCTCTAATACGCACACACTGTCCATCAGATTCAATCCTTTGGTGGGAATGGAGAAGCAGGAGGAGGAGGACACACGTTGCACACTCTCCAAACAAATGTCCGGCAGCCTTTCTGGATTTGTCAGAATCCTATGGATAGTAAGTGGCAAGTTCACCTATAAAAATCTGCTTTTGCTTTCAAATGACTATTAATTTTCCATGAATTCTCTCTAATAAATGGGCTAAAAGAATCAGTTAAATGATAGTAGAAACTTTAGGCTGTAACAGGCCTTTTCTATTTCAAGTTTTATAATCTTGTTTTTCTAAGATTCAGAGATGGTATTCTGTTTTGAGATTAATTAGGGCAACTTTTAATCTCCCCCCTCCTGCCTTTCAAGAGGAGAAAAAAGGAGAGAAAGGTCCTTGCTTCAAATTGTAATGTGCAGTTTGTCTTATTTAGTTTCTTCAACCTTCATTTTTCTAAACCTGTAAAAGGGGAACAATAATACATATTTGCTGAGTTTGGGTGAGGATTTCATTAAAAGACCTAGCACAGATTCTAAACCAGTGTTTTTGAACCTTTTTTTATCTCAGGGCACACTTGAATCCATAGTTAAACTTCTATGGTACACTTAAATGATGGTGATCAAAAAAAGGAGTAAAAGAGTGACACCTTTGGCTCAGTAGGTAAGGCGCCAGCCCCATATACAGAGGGTGGCAGGTTCAAACCCGGCCCTCGCCAAACTGCAACAAAAAAATAGCTGGGCATCATGGTGGGCACCTGTAGTCCCAGCTACTCAGGAGGCTGAAGCAAGAATATCACCTAAGCCCCAGAGTTGGAGGTTGCTGTGAGCTATGATGCCATAGCACTCTACTGAGGGCAATAGAGTGAGACCCTGTCTCTACAAAAAAAAAAAAAAAGTAAAAAAAATTGTGCTTTGAACTTCTTTCAAAAATAATTTAATTAATTATCTTTAAATATTTTTGCAGCCCACCTAAGATCCTCTCACAGCACACTAGTGTGCCTTGTTGAAAGGCACACTACTAGTTGAAAATCACTGCTCT